GTAACCACTGAGCCATCTCTCCAGCCCCAGCACTGTTTTTTGTTTTTTCTTTAACCTAGACTTCTTTACCACTTTCCTAATTACTATCCTTCCTCCACCCTTGTCCTATATAGTTCACCTTCTAGAATGTAAGTCAGATCACCTTACCTCTCCGTTTCAAATGCTCAATATCTGGCCCAGGTGTGGTGGAGCACACCTTTAATCCCAGTACTCTGGAGGTAGGAGGCTGGGGATCTCTGTGAGATCAAGTCCAGCCTGGTGTACACAGTGAGTTCCAGGCGAGCCAGGGTTGCATATAGAGACCCTGTCTCAAAAAACAGAACAAACAGGACTGGAGAGATGGCTCAGCAGTTAAGAGCACTGGCTGCTCTTGCAGAGAACCTGTGTTCAATTCTTAACACCCACATGGTGGCTAACAACCACCTGTAACTCCAGTTTCAGGGGCTCCAACACCCTCTTCTGACCTCCTTGGGCATTGCATGACACAGGTACACTGACACACATGCAGGTAATACATTCACACACATTTAACGCCCCCCCCCCGCCGCCCAATATTTTTTTGTTTACTCTTAGTGCAAATCCTTCCTTGGGCCTAAAGCTAAGTCAGCAGGTAGGTGCCAGCATATTCTGATGGGTATCTGTTCTGATTAGTCAGCACCTGTGCTACAAAGATGTGGTGTTTGAGCATCACTCCTGCCTAGAAAACACACCCCCACAAGCTTCTGTGTGGAAGAAACACATTGTGTCCCCCACCTCTCTAAGGCTTTGACCTTGCTGTCCTTCAGCTTAGACACTCCTCTCTGACTTCTTCATTAGTCATACTCTCAGAAGGGCTGTCCTTGACTGTCATTCAAAGATGTGCTGCACAACAAGCTGGGGATTTAGCATGCATAAGGTTCAAACCCTAGACAGTCACAGAGACACAGAGACAGACACCATACACACACACACACACACACACACACACACACACACACACACACACGGATGTGCTGCTCAAAGCAGAAATGACTAGTCTAGTGCGACTATTTAAGTTTAAATAAAATTTAACATTGTCTATCAGTCACATATTCCAAGTATTCAATAGCTACATGTAGTTAAGTGGCTATCACAGAGGTTGGCACAGGTACAGAACATTCCCATCCTGACAGGAGTTTTATTGCACAGGGCTAATCTGATGCAAGAACCCATGCTGCTTCCCTTTATAATTAAAAAAAAAATTAATTAATTAATCTAAAAAATTTTGAAGACAGGGTCTCCCGGTAGCCCCAGCTGTCCTGGAACTCACTATGTAGACCAGGCTGCCCTTGAACTCACAGACATCTGCCTGCCTCTGCCTCCGCCTCCCGAATGCAGGGATTAAAGGCATGCACCACCACACCCAGCTAATTAATTTTTAATATTTTATTGATTGATTGATTGATTGCGTATGAGTGTATTTCCTGCATGTATGTGAGTGCACCCATGTCGTGTGATGCCGCAGAGGTCAGAGGAGGGCTTCGGATTCCCCTGGAACTGGAGTTAAGGACAGTTCGTAGCTAGCTGCCATGTGGGTGCTGGGAATTGAACCCTGGTCCTCTGCAAGAGCAGTCAGTGCTCTTAACTGCTGAGTCATCTCTTCAGCCCAACTAATTAATTTTTAATTTATGTGTATGAGTGTATTGCCTACATGTATGTAAGTATACCTGTGTCATGCAATGCCCATTAAGGACAGAAGAGGGTGTCAGATTCCTGGTCTCTGCAAAAGCAGTCATCTTTTTATGAGCCATCTCCCTAGCCCCTGACCTTCATAATTTTAAGCCAAAGTCCTTTTCCAAAAGTCCTCAGTACAAGAACATGATGTATTTGTTCTGGCTTTTCCTACTAAGAACCTCTTCAACTCTGGGGCTTGCTCTTATTCATTTACGTATCTCAAACACTCACAACAGTGCCTGGCATTCAGGAGGCAGTCAATAAATATTTGCTAGACTAAATTTTCTACGGTGGAAATCTTCCTGGCAGAATAAGGGAGTGAAGGTAAGGGAACATTCTGTAGAGAGGCTAAGATGGAATGATGCTTCCAGCAATGGAAATGACAGGAAGAACAGGAGGGAAGCCAATGATGGAAGGGTATAAGGATGGGGGTGAGGGCACAGGTCAGGGTGAAGTGAGGGCTGAAGAGGCTAGGCCCTTAGGAGATGCTCAGGAAGGCCTCCTGAGGGCTGAAAGAGATGGTGGGGTTGGGACAGCTGTAACTAAGTAGATGGAAGTAGTCTTGCTGCAGTCTCTGTCCAGGCCCTTGTACACAGGTCAGGGCCTTGGCCACAGGCACGATGCTTAATGTAGTTTGGTGATGTAATGGAAAGCTTGGGTACTGGGCACGAAGTTTTGTATTTGCTTTGGTGAAACAAGCATGGAGTTATTAGAGCAGAGCTGTGTTTTCTTGATTTAGTTCATTTTGCTAACAAATCTAAAAACTATGAAGACTATTTTGAAAACAGAAAATCTGTATAGGCAATCACAAATTGCAGCTGAGCAGAAATACCATTTAAGACCAGATATGGAAAGCCAGCCCAGATGTTCCTGATTAGTGGTAGAATATTGCCAAACTGTGTGATTCCTTCCCCCTAACTCCCTCTTTTTCTCTGACAGGGTCTCCCATAGCCCAGGCTGGCCTTGAACTCTACACACAGCTAAGGATGATCCTGAACTCCTGTTCTCTCTGCTCCCACCTCCCAAGTATCAGGATTACCAGTGCATGCCACGATGCCTGGCTATGATTCCTATTCTCTTGAAAAACATTTGGATGTTTCCTTGTCTACCCATTTAGCAACTGAAGCCCAAAGTATTTTGTGGCTTAATATATTTTAGTGATTTCAAAATATAATTATGATTAGGCATGTCTTTTCATTACAATAAATTTTATCTCGTCACAACTGAGAAATCAATATGGCTGTTTATACTACTGCAATCCATAAAGTATGTCCAAATATGCATGGTTTTGATAACCACTAAGTGCAATTTTCAGTATATTCAAATTGATTTTAATTTGTTGCAAAACTTAATCTTGTTTGCACTTCAATATTTTTATATTTTCATCCATGACTATTAGAGATTTTAATTTATATTCATATTGTTCTTGCTCTTTCCATAGCAAACACAATATAATTATTCATTAGGGTTAAAAATAAAGTTAGCATTAGAGTTCAAATCTATTTGTTGTTCTTGGACCATGGAAGGGAAATCCATTCAGGCACTAAATACACTCCTTCTCCTCTTATTTTGGTTTTCATGAGTGAGTATGTCATGCCCATACAGGTGTGAGGTTCCAAAGGTACAGAAGGTGTGTGTCCTGCACCCCTTTTCTTCCACATAGCTCCCCATTCCAGGAGGCACCACTGTGACCAGAGTCTTGCATATCCTTTCTGTAAGTGGTCTATACTACATACAGACAAGCAAATGCACATGTATTATCTATGTTTCTTCATCTGATCCTCCAGCAAACTCTAAATTGGGCATTGTCATTTCTGTTTTTCAGGTGAGGGAACCAAGGCAGCGACTGATTTGCTCCAGGTAGCAGAGCTGGTGGTAGAGCTGGTTCTGTAGTCTACAGCTGGCTTGCCTTCTTTCCCATCTTAGTTTGCTCAGTTATGGGAAGGAACTAAGTCCCATCTGGGAGAGACAGCCCCAGTTTAGTTTAGAAATGTGTGTTTGAAAGTTAGGGGACAGGGGCTAGAGAGATGGTTAAAAGCACTGGCTACTTTCACAGAGGACTGGGGTTCAATTCTCAGCAGCTACATGGCGGCTAATAACCATCCTTAACTCCTGATCTGATGCCTTCTTCTGGCCTCCACAGGCATTGTATGCATGTGGTGCTACATACATGTAGGCAAACACTCATGCAAAATAAACAAATAAATATAAAAAAAATAAAGTTAGGGTACAGACTTGTCTATAGTAGGCATGGTAGGAGAAGAAAGGGCCACTCTGAGGGGACGGGGGGGCCACCATCAGCAAGAAATAAACCCAGGCTAGGGATGTAGTTCAATGGCAGGGCACTTGCCTAGCATACACAAGGACCTGGGCTTAATCCCTGGAACTGAAAAAAAAAAAGTATCTGAATCCATGCTAAACTATCAATGGAGAGGAGGCTGTAAGAGGGGCAGACACTATGCATGAAGCACCGAAGCACCATTAAGATATGGAGGGGCAGGGGGAGAATCAAAGGTGATACTGGCTCTGAGCTAAGCAAGTGGTGGAAAGGTAGTTCCCACAACAGAAGCCAGAAGTCTGGCAACACTTGACTTGCAGACAATCGTTTAGTTGCAGGCATGGAGTTTAGGCTCAGTGGAGTTTCAGCAAGCAGGTGAAGCTATGGGTTTATAGCTCCTTGACACTGTGGCCCTGGGGCTCCTGGAAGACCCTGAGCATCAAGTGCTTTCTTTTTTTGCTGTCCGTGTAACCACTGCTGGGCTGAGATATGGCTCAGTGGTAGTGTGCTTCTGGAGGAGGATTGGGGTAGGGGACAGGTTAGATTCAGGTGTCACAGGCAAAGGAGTTGGTGGCTAAAGCAAAGAGGAAAGAGATTCCTCCAGAGCCAAGGGGAAGGAAGGTGTGGAGATGAGTAGAGAGAAAATTAAGAGAAGGCCAGAATGGGAAGGAGTGGGAAAGCCCAGAAAAAGGAGCATTTCATGGAACAGGAGGGTGTGATGCGAGGACATCAAAGATTGTAAGCTCAAGAGAAGGTTGGAATTGAGATTGGGCTAGCACCTGGACAGCATAGTTCATCTGTAGAAGCAAGAGACAGACCCATGTTTCAAAGAAGCTCAATGTAGCTGGGAAAGAATGATAGTGTTGTTTCTGTGGTTCACTAAAAACTGTTAAGCTCTGTTACCAGAATGCTTCTCATCAAAGAGTCAAAGTATGAATGGCATCACTAGCTGGGAAAAATCCTGGCCCTGGCCTGCCCTGATGACTGGCAGGTGGCCAGGGCAGCAGTCACGGGGGTCCCAGGCACTTACTCGGATGTGTAGGTCTTGGAAGAAGATGAGCAGAGTCTGCCGGATCAGCTGGAACTCCCCGGCAGAGAGACTCCCATATATCTGTCAAGGCAAAGCAGAGGAGCAGCACTTCACTTTCCACCAGGGATGGAAAAGTGGGGACAGGTGGGGGTCGGGCACTCAGGAGCGGGAGTCAGATAAGCAGGGACCTTGGTAGCAGGATCATCAGCATCCTCCCTCCCCAGCGGATCCTCAGTGGGACAGACATTGCTATGCAGATTTTCTATAGGCCTGGAAAGTCTGCTCCCCATGATTTAGCAGACACCCACTTCCAACACCAGTCAGTAGAAAATGGCTGTGCTCTTTATCACTGTTCTCTCAATTACAAAGGCCACAGCAGAGGGCATAAGATGATAATCCCCATGGTATTAACAAAATGTACCTGTAGGATTTTAGAATCCAGGGAGAGTGGCAGGTTTTGACCCTATAGTTGCAATAATAGAATCTGCCTGTTCTTACAGCAGAATGAGAATAAGGATTGGGGTGGAGAGGTGACAGGATGGTAACATGCTTACTTCTATCAGCTGCCGGAAGGTCTCATCCACTTGATGCAGGATGGTCGGGGAGTCTTGGATGAATTCTTTGATGGCATCTAAATGGTTGAAAGTGACCAGCAGCACATCCTTTGGGCGTGGACACAGCAGTACTTGATATTTGAAAGCCATGGTCATCAGGTCATAGAGCTGTCAACCCACACACAAAATATATGGGATATAAAAAGCAGATCAGAGCCCCCAGCAGGGAAGCAGTTACTGAAAAGCCAGCTGTGGAATTACCACACAGGTCAGGTGACTATATGGGTTATCAATCAAGTTAGGACACTTTTGAAAGTAGAGGGGTAATGCTAGCAACTAAACCAGGAAAACAGGACATCCCTGGGGACACCAGGGTGTCTAGTCACCTGATGGGACACATATTGGCAGCTGTGAGTCCTGAACTGGGCACTGGACTTTGTAGGGATCTGGAGTCTGGATTCAAGTACTTCTTTGCTATTTACTTTCTATATGATCCTGGCTATGTTTTTTTCCTTTGTTTTTTTTCTTTTTTATGTTGCTGGGAATGGAACCCAGCGTCTTGTGCATGCTAGGCAAACACTCTACCAACTAAGCTATGTCCCCAGCCCTATCACCATTTCTATTTTATTTTTAAAATTTTAAAAAATTGTATGTGTATAAGTGTTTTGCCTGCATGTATGTAAGTTAATCCATGTCATACAATGCCCTCAGAGGCCAGGAAAGGGTATCAGATCACCTGGAACTAGAGCAGACCGTTTTTAGCCAGTATGTGGCACTGAGAACCAAACCCAGGTCCCCTGCAAGAGCAGCCAGTGTTCTTAACCACTGAGCCATCTCTCTAGGCCCTGGAAGCCCTCCTCTGCTCTATTTGAGACAGGGTTTCACTATGCAGCACTGGCTGGCCTGGAACTAGCAGTGTAGACCAGGCTAGCCTCAAACTCACAGATATCCACCTGCCTCTGCTTCCCGAGGGCTAGGATTAAATGTATGTATTATCACACCTAGTTTATTTTTAATTAATTGATTAATGTGGTTTGTGAGACAGGAACTCATGTATTCTAGGTTTACCTCAAACTTACTATGTAGGTGAGAATCACCTTGAACTTCTAGGATTACAGGTGTGTGTCATCACGCCTGGCTTCCTAACTCCATTTTTAAATGCAGTGGTTGTTTTTCTCCCCCAGTAGTGCACATTCTTTCATTTTCTTTGCTTCACAGCTGGAATTCATGACACAATGGCCAGCTGGGCTGGTCTTGCAGTGCTTAGAGGAAACACTGTGAGTAGTCATAGCATGGAACATTTGCTGGCACTAGCAACCCTTCTGGCTCCTTGACACTCACAGCCTTCTGGAACAGCCCAAGCAGCAAGTGCTTCTGCTTTCTTTTCTTGGTGTAACCAATGTTGGGCACCAAGACCTGGATCTTTGGGCTGGGATGGAGCTCAGTGGTAGAGCACTTGCCTAGGTTCTGGATTCAATCCCTAATACCACATACACACAATAAAGCCAAAACAACAAACAAACTAAGAAGGACAAAAAGATCTGGACCTTCAGCCTTTTTCCCATCTTGTCAGCATCTCTGGGTTTCCACCAGCGAGGCTTGATTTTTTACATATTGTGCTGAGTGACACCAGCCGAACTTCTTGGCTCTCTTTCTGATGATCTGGGGCTTCATGAGAGGTGTGACGGTGGCCACAATGCCAAGCAGAAGAGGGGCAGGCTAGTGTTAGTGAGAAGATGGACTCAGGGCTGAGAAGTAATTTTCCAAAGGTCAGGGAGCAGTTTAAGTCATGTCTCTCTGAGTTTTCTAGCACCAGTGACAAGCAATGTTAATTTGTATGTTTATTACCTATGTCAGTCCTCATGACTTAAAAAAGGTTCACACAGGGCTGGAGAGATGGCTCAGCAGTTAAGAGCACTGACTGCTCTTGCAGAGGACCTGGGTTTGATTCCCAGCACCCACATGGTGGCTACAAACCTTCCTTAACTCCAGTTCCAGGGGAATCCAAAGCCCTCTTCTGACCTCCATGGCAATGCAAGACACGGGTGCACTCACATACATGCAGGCAATACACTTATACACATAATAAATAAAATATCAATAAAAGGTTCACACAATGGAGAATTTGAAAAGGAATTATTACTCTAAGGTATTGGAGGTCACCCCGGGCGACATGAGACCATCTAAATTCTCATTAGATTCATTAGTTTTGTTTTTCCCTGTTGTTATTGTTCTTCTTCTCCTTCTCCTCCTCCTCTTCCTCCTCCTCTCTTCTCTTCCTCCTCCCTCCTCTTCCTCTTCTTTTAGTGTATATGTGTGTGTGTTTGTGTGTGTGCACGCGCACCAGTAAAAGCCAGAAGGTGTCAGATCTCCTGGACCTGGAATCACAGATGGTTGTAAACCGCCCAGCCACCCAACATGGGTACTGGAACCTGAGCTCAGTCCTCTCAAATAGCAGCAAAGGCTTTTAGCCTCCCAGCCATCTTTCCAGCCCCACCTTGATGATTTTGAACATTGCTGCTCAGGTATGCATTCTGCAGCATGGCAATGCTACATGTCTGTTTTTCTCATGGTGAGGCTGGGACTATGGACTTTGATGGTGGAAGACCACAGAGGTGATGTGCTATTTTCCTCATACGGTGAAGGGAACATATTGTCAGTGCACCCTTTACTATGCTAGGAAGCCCCACCACCTGCTGAGAAAGGCCGTGAAGTTTCTGAGTGTGAACGGAACTGTCTCCTCCCTTGTTCCCATGCCATGCTTTTGTGAGGAGGCTGCCTGCCATGCCCATCGTCAGGATTCTGGAGGGCAGATGGCTACATAAATTATTCAGCATTCTTCTGAACAGATTTGTCTGTCTTGTACTATTCAGTCTTTATTTTTTTTTTGACAGGGTTTCACTATGCAGCCTTGGCTGACCTGGAACTCGTTATATAGACCAGACTGGCCATGATCTCACAGAGATCCGCCTGCCTCTGCCTCCCAAGTTCCCAACTGTTGGGATTAAAGGTATGTGCCACCATGCCTAGCAATAATTAATATTTTTTAAAAGTTTTCAAAAAATGTGTATGTGTGTTGTGGCATGTTTGTCTATGTGGATGTATGCCGAGTGTCCTCAGAGAAGAAGGTGTCGGATCCCCTGGAGTTGAAGTTACAGCACGCAGTTGTGGGTGCTGGGAACTGAACTCGAGTCCTCTGGAAGAGCAGAAAACTCTCTCTCTCTCTCTCTCTCTCTCTCTCTCTCTCTCTCTCTCTCTCTCTTTGTCTTTTTGAGACAGGGTCTCCCTGTAGCCCCAACTGTCTCTGATCTCATGCAGCTCTAACCTGCTTCTGCCTCCTGAGTGCTGGGATTAAAGGCATGTGCCACCACGCCCAGTTTGCTTTCTTAATAGATAAGATTAATTTCACTATTAAGAATGGAATTTCTTTTGTTTGGGTTTTTGAGGGGAGAGTAAATTTTGGGCATATATAAGTAAGATTTAATGGCAGGGGAGGGGATAAATCACAACCGCCCAGGAAGAGAATCAATTACTTAACTTTTGTCTTTTTGAGACAGAGTCTCCCTGTAGCCCCAGCTGTCCTGGAATTCACTATGTAGACCAGGCTGGCCTCGAACTCACAAAGATCCGCCTGCCTCTGCCTCCCAAGCGCTGGGATTAAAGGTGTGTGCCACCACGCCTGGCCTTATTTTTTTTTAATATTTTATTATTTTTATTTTATGTGTATGAGTGTATCGCCTGCATCATGTATGCGAGTGCACCCATGTTGTGCAATGCCGTGGAGTCAGAAGAGGGCTTCGGATTCCCCTGGAACTGGAGTTAAGGATGGTTTGTAGTCGCCATGTGGGTGCTGGGAATTGAACCCGGGTCCTGTGCAAGAGCAGTCAGTGCTCTTAACCGGTGAGCCATCTCTCCAGCCCCAATTTTATTATATTTTTATGTGTACGCATGTATTGCCTGTATGTAGGTAAGTGCACCTGTGTTGTGCAATGCCCTCGGAGGACAGAAGAGGCTGTCGGATCCCCTGGAACTGGAGTTATGGACAGTTGTTAGCTGCCACGTGGGTGCTGGGATTCAAACCTGGGTCTTCTGCAAGAACAGACAGTGTTCTTAACCGCTGAGCCATCTCTCCAGCCCCAGGAAACTGTCTTAAATACTGTAGTCATCTATCTCTCCAGCTCCAAGATTGAACATTTTAAAATTTTCTTAAAAAAAAAAGAAACCACCAAAAAACCCAAAATTTGGCTTCCTCCCTCACTGTAGAGCTGAGATTTATTACATTAGAACTTTTTTCTTTTCTTTTTATTTATATTTTATTTATTATTTTAATTTTATGTGTATGAGTGTATTGCCTGTATGTATGTAAGTGCACCTATCTTGTGGAATGCCTGTAGAGATCAGAAGAGGACATCGGATTCCCCTGGAACTGGAGTTACCTGGTTGTTGTTAGCCTCCATGTGGGTGCTAGGAAATGAACCCGGGTCCTCTGCAAGAGCAGCAAGGGCTCTTAACCGCTGAGCCATCTCTCCAGCCCAAATTAGAGAACTTTTCTTTTCAAGCATTTTAATTATTAAAGTATATTCACTGTACATATTAATGGGCCTCAATGTGACATCTACATACATGCACATCATGCTTCAATCATATCTACACTCCTGACTGCCCCCTCTTCTCCTCTCTTTCTTCCTCCTAGATGTAAAGCTTGTGGGGCTGAGCACTTGAACTGGGTGGCTTATGTTCATACCTATAAATATGGGCATGAAAAACAGGACTCTCTTCAGGCAGGTGAAATGACATAAGCAACAGGGGGTTGGTGAGGAAGCCTTCTGAGATCCTTCCCAACGGGACAATTACTGCTCACATTTACAAGTACTTGCTTCTTGCAAGGCACCACTGCATGTGGCATCTTATCTGACCCCAGACAAGGACAATCCATGAAGGGCACTAGGGCAGCAGCTGAGCTGACTAAGAAGCTGTCTGCTCACCTTATCCATGCTGGCCTGGTTTAGCCGCATAATGGAAGCATGAGCCAGGCGGTCGTACACAGTCCTCAGGGCCTTCTTGGAGTAGAGCTCTTGGGGTTTGAACAGCTCCTCCATAAACTTTCTATTGAACATGGTTGAAATGATGTCATTCAGAACTGTAGAGACAAGAGAGAATCCAGTTGAGCAAGGAAGGTCCTGGAAGAGGCCTTATTCAGAAGTGCTGTCTGGAAATGGACTGGAGCGCTATGCAGAGCTGAGACACAGGTGCATGGTGAAATCAACTCCTTGGAGAGAAGTCCAGGTGTCTGGTAGGACCAGGAGATCTCTGTGACAAGCTTTCAGGGCAAATGTCCATGAGGACATATCCAAGAAGGTTGTGCTCCTGAGATCAGATACTGCTTTTATGAACATTATCTACCTTGATGATAAAATATTTCTTAAAAAAGATTGCTATAAACATTTTCAGTTAGAGCACTTCCTTAAAATGAGAAACAGCAAACATATTCTTTTAAAAATTAAAAATGGGGGCTGGAGAGATGGCTCATAGGTTAAGAACACTAGTTGTTCTTGCAGAAGACCCGGGTTTGAATCCCAGCACCCACATGGCAGCTAACAACTGTCTGTAACTCCAGTCCCAGGGGATCCGACAGCCTCTTCTGACCTTCGCGGGCATTGCACAACACAGGTGCACTTACCTACATTCAGGCAATACACCCACACACATAAAATAAAAATAATAAAAAAATTAAAAATGGACTTAGTATGGGTGCAGAGTATGTATGATGTGTCTGTGGGTGCGTAGGTGCCATGGAGGTGAGAGGACAACTTAGTGGAGTTTCTTTCCTTCCACCTTTACAAGGGTCCTGAGGATGGAACTCAGGTAGTCAGGTTGCATGGCAAGCACTTTATTTGCTGAGCCATCTCACTGAGCTTCTCAAAAATTTTATTTTATTTATTATTAGTGTGTATATAATATGTGTGTGTGGTTTTTTTGTTTGTTTTATTTTGAAGCAGGGTCTTCCTGTAGGTGCAGCTGGCCTGGATTTTCTATGGAGACCAGGTTTGCCTCCAACTCACAGAGCTCTGCCTGCCTCTGCCTGGGACTACACGCGTGCACCACCACACCTAGCTTGTGTGTGTGTGTGTGTGTGTGTGTGTGTGTGTGTTTAATTATGTTTTATTTATTTTTTTTGTCTTTTTTTTTTGTTTGTTTGTTTGAGACAGGGTCTCCCTGTAGCCCCAGCTGTCCTGGAACTCACTATGTAGACCAGGTTGGCCTTGAACTCACAGAGATCTGCCTGTCTCTGACTCCTGAGTGCTAGGATTAAGGGCATGCACCACCATGCCCGGTGTGTGTATTCTTTTTTAAAGGCAAATCTAAACAATTTCTTAAAATTGAATTTCACAAATGTAGGACAAAAAAAATGATTTACTTTTCGTAAAAAATATTTCATGAAAATATATACAGCTACCCATTGGCTAGAGATTAAGCATTTTTAGTATTTTTACAAGTATTTCAGACAACTCCATTTTAGGATGCCTTAATTTCTTTTAATTAATTAATTAATTAATTAATTTATTTATTTATTTTGTCTTTTTTGAGACAAGGTCTCCCTGTAGCCCCAGCTGTCCTGGAACTCACTATGTAAACCAGGCTGGCCTTGAACTCACAAAGACCTGCCTGCCTCTGCCTCCTGAGTGATAGGATTAAAGGTATGTGCCACCATGCCCAGCAGGATGCTTTAATTTCTATATTTGATCTATGATATTGATTTTATACTATAGTAATATATCTCATCCTGTTGTTTAAATTAAAATTTCCACATGGTGAGAATAAAAGGAGTGTGCAAACCAACATGCCTATGATCACAGATCTTTATTCATATAGATATTCTGTAGTACTCAATGAGGGGCCAGGAAAACAGGTCCAGGTATAGTTAAGCATAAATTATTCTTTTAAAAAATATAAAAAAAAATTTTATGTGTATGAGTGTTATGCCTGCATGTAGGTAAGAGCACCCATGTCATGCAATGCCCGCGGAGGACAGAAGAGGCTGTCAGATCCCTTGGAACTGGAATTTTGGACAGCTGTTAGCTGCCATGTGGGTGCTGCTATTCAAACCTGGGTCTTCTGTAAGAACAGTCAGTGTTCTTAACTGCTGAGCCAGCTCTCCAGCCCCACATAGATTATTCTTTAAGAGCTTTTTATATTGTTATTGTGGGTGTGTTTGTGTATATGATGCATGTGGTGCTGGGGAGGGGTGTAAGAATGCCATGGTGCACATGTGGAGGCCAGAGGACAACTTTGCAGATTCAGTTCTCTCCTTCCATGTTTACTTGGGTTGAGTTCTGGGGATTGAGCTCAGGTTGTCAAGTTTGTTTGACAAGTGCCTTTACCTACTGAGCCATCTTGCTGGTCCAGATTATTATTAAGGCAGTTTTTCTAGCCTAAAGATAAGAGAATGTGGCTGTCAAGAGCATGTATTCACAGTAATTAAAATTTGACAGAAAACTGGGTTACTTATAATAATTATATAAAATCAATTCTTTTCTTTTTAATTATGGATATTATATCTTTGGGTATATGTCCACATGAGTGCAGGTACCCATGGAGCCAGAAGAGGGTATCAGATCTCCTGGAGATGGAGTTATAGGTGGTAGTGAGTTGCTTGGGAACTCAACCTAAGTCCTCTGTAGGACATGCTCTTAAGTGCTGAACCATTCTCCAGCCCTTAACATGAATTCTTTTTGTTTGTTTGTTATGGTTTTTGAGACAGGTCTCCCTGTAGCCCCAGCTGGCCTGGAACTAGGTAGACCAGGCTGGCCTGGATCTCACAGAGACAGAATGCTGAAATCAAAGGCATGCGCCACCACACCCAGCTAAAAATGAATTCTTTAATATGAGTGCTTATTTCTGAAAGATATAAACTCTTCTTTTTTTGCTGAGCATAAAGGACATGCTAGGTGACTGGTTGTGACCATATGTTTGTAAAGAATTAAAGTAACAAAGAGCAGGAATATTATTATTTTAGATACTTGCTACTTGTAAGTAATTGCGCTAAGTACCCTGAAGGCTCAGGCCAACCTTTTTTTTTTTTTTTTTTTTTTTTAAAGCATTTTGTTGAGGAAAGGGAAGCTAAGAGCTAGCTGGTTGTACTTAAAATCTTTTTCTTTTTTTTTTGTTTTTTTTGTGACACTGTCTCCCTGTAGCCCCAGTTGACCTGGAACTTGCTATGTAGACCAAACTGGCCTTGAACTCACAAAGATCCACCAGCCTCTGCCTCCTAAGTGCTGGGATTAAAGGTGTGTGCCACCATGCCCAACCCTTCTTTTTCTTTTTTTAAGTCTGATTTGGAACTAAGGCCTCTACCTAAGAATGGCCTTAAACTGCTCTTCCTGCCTCTACCACCACAGTGCTGGGAAGATACCCAGTTAGTACTTGAATCTTAAGTGGAACTGCTTTAGAGAGAGAAGGGGGAGGGACACATCTTCCTCCCATACTGACACAAAGAACTGATTCCTTATAGGATTGTAGAACTCATACTTGACCTTTGGATTTTACTTTAAATTCCATCCTGTTACTCAGAGAGTTAGAAAGCCCACAGCCAGCACAGGCAGCCCTCACAGCTGAGGACTTCTACCCAGCACAGCCAGCTAACTCTCCTACAGGGACAGCTTGGAGACATAGGAATCTTTCTGGGTTTGCTTCAGGCCTGATTTTTTTCCTTTTTTCTTTGACAGAAGCAAGCAATAAATTGAGTTTGCTAACTTTTTTCTTACTACAGTCTATATTTAAGATGCAGAATTTGCAAGGCAACAGATACAACTGAAAAGTCACAGAGGTCCTCAGAGAAAAGAAAAGGAAGAGCTTCCTACAGGTTGAAAGAGGCCATGGAGGAGCACCACAGATTCCTGCAGGCCAGGGAGGAAGAACTCAACTTGAAGCATTCCTTATCAGCTGTGATTGGATAAAGCATAGAGCTAAGTCACTGCCCTAGGGCCTTTGAACTCAGTCAGAATCTAGGAAAAGAGTTTAGTCCCAAATAACTCAGTTCTAAAAGAGACAAACCCCCAAGGTGATCATTAGCTACTTTGGCAAAGCAAAAAACAAAATGTGGTCTTTCCCCCTAGGGAGGTGAAGCAGCCATTTATCACCCTAGCTCCCGCAGCAGACCCACACAATGCTCACTTGCTGAGACCAGAGGGCAGCTGGGCCCATTCCCAAAGAAGACTTTGAAGTTTTGTGGCTGGACCCTGGCATTTGGGGATCCCAGTCATAATTCATTTTTTGGAAACAGTGTAGAGATACATATTAACACATTTTCCTCTCAAAATTTCCTCTTTAGAACACTTGGCCTGGCAGGCTTGCCCTGCACAAAACACTGAGGTAAACAGCACAGGGTCACACAGGAAGGAGATAATGCCCTAGAGATACAGAATGCATCTTGTTCACACCTGAGCGGTAGTTTCAGACAGACACTTAATCTGCCTTTGCTACCAAGCACTTAGATTCTCCTATATTTAAAACCATGAGGAAACTGAAACTCATAAAAGAAAATGAATTTATTTATAGTTTGCCCAGATCAGGGATGGAAAGACCACCTTCTCTTACCTGTGCTCCATCAGAGCTACCATTTTATAGAAAAGATGAAACAAAAGCCAGGAAATACACATACATTAATTTAGCTGTGAAATTAAGTTGTCAGAACTTCGTGAAATCTCTTCCTACAAGGCAAGTCCCTCCTTTAGCTGATGCCAGGGCCTTTCCCTTTGGCCATCATGGTACTCAGGGGCAAATTTGAATTCTTTGGGTCCATTGTTTCAATAGCCATGCCTTTAATCTCAGCACTTGGGGGGCAGAGGCAGGCAGATTTTTGTGGGATTGAGGCCAGCCTGGTCTATACAGTGAGTTCCAGGACAGCTGGGGCTAAAGGGAGACCCTGTCTTCCCCCCCCGCCCCCCCCAAAAGAGAGTATCTCCTTTCCTGCCAGGGCCACAGTCATATCTTGGCGTTTGTTTTTGGTACTCAAATGAGCTTTGCATACTTTTCAGGCAGAATGTGCTAGGAGCCAAATTTCATCAGGGAGAGAGTAAGTACTTTGTACAAGGTCATCAGAAGGGTTTATGACTGCACTCTGAATGAGGCTCCTAGTTTGGGGCTTAGATAGATGAGATGATGAAGTTGGTTTCTGATGATTATTTTTGAACAGTTAGGTTAAAATAAGCTCCAGCGATTTAATTATGTACATGAAAAGCCCTCAAGATCCACACTTCACACCTGAAATTCTGCCAGGCATCAAAGGATGGGCCAAAAATTGCTCAAGAGATGTGTCAAAAAATGATTGTGAAGTATAATAAAAGCGAATCAAGCACTTTAGTTGGGCTTCTCTCTGAACACAGTCTGATGAAATAATTATCTTGATGAAAGCAATTCAGTTTTTACCAATTACCTCTGCTCCAAAATCACTTGTTTATAGAAATATACAATGTGGAGTTAAGGTTAAAGAGAGAATGTATGAAATATTCTGGATAGTTACCATGGTTTGACTCCTACCCTGTTCCAGGTACTAGGCTTAGAGCTTTATAAGCAGTGCCTAATTTAAATTCCAAGGCAACTAAAATATCCCCATTCTATTGAAGAGGGACAACCGAGTCCAACAGAGTTTCAAATCCAAGGTCAAAACACTGGTAGTGGAGCTGAAATTAGAAAAGGTTTTGCTTTATTCCACTATTTAAAAATTTTATTACATATTTATGTGTTATTTATTTATTTATTTATTTATTATTATTATTATTATTAGTCTTTTTGAGACAGGGTCGCCCTGTAGCCCCAGATGTCCTGGATCGCACTATCGAAAAGATCTGCCTGCCTCTGCCTCCCAAGTACTAGGATTAAAGGTGTGTGCAACCACGCCTGGCTTATGTGTTATTTGAGACAAAGTCTCACTTTGTAGCCCTGGCTGACCTAGAACTATTTAGACTAGGTTGGCTTTGAACTCACAGAGATCTACTTCCTTCTGCCTCTCAAGTGCTGGAATTAAAGGCCTGTGTGACCAGCCTATTTATTTAGTGTGTGCACGTGTGTGCGTGTGTGTGCATGCACGCAGTTTTTTCCTTCCACCATGTGGGTCCCAGACAGTGAAGGTAAGTATAAAGTGCCTTTACCCACTAAGTCATCAAATCAATTTTTTTTTTTTTTTTTTTGAGCCCTGGCTGACCTGGAACTCACTATGTAAATCAGGCTGGCCTGGAACTCACAGAGATCCTCCTGTCTCTGCCTCCTCATGGTGGGATTAAAGGTGTACTTTGCTATTTTTTTTGGGGGGGGTCTTTTTGACATAGGGTCTCCCTGTAGCCCCAGGTGTCTTAGAACTTGCTATGTAGACCAGGCTGGCCTTGAACTCACAGAGATCCACCTGCCTCTGCCTCCCCAGTGCTGGGACTAAAGGCATGCGCCACCACACCCAGGATGCTTTGCTATTTTTTAAATCCAGAATGGTGAACTAGTTTATTCAAGTACCACTGTGAACCTACTAATACATCATATATCTTATCTGGATTCATTTCTGCTATACAGATTTCATATATTTACATTCCACACATTCCTTTTTTTCTGCTTATCCTGTTCCATAGTAATCTTTTTCTGTCTCCATCTTCTTCTCCATTCCCTATGTTGGTATTATTCATCTTAAATTTCTTTTGTAACTGTTTCTGTTTTCTATTGTATTACATCCCAAGTCAATTTCTAGCACTGTTAGGAAAATGTTTACAAGGCTGTAAACATTATCTGTCATAATAATGTGAAATCTATGTAATTATGTTTAAAATGCTTTCTTTCAATAATAAAAGAAAATGAACCTATAGCAATAAATTCAAAATCAGAAATAACAAAATGCCTTCAGTGGGCCTTCCATCAGATATTTAAAATATACATCCATTCTGTGCACCAATTAAAAATGTTTTATTAGCATATATTAATTATACATACTAATGGATTTCATTATAACATTTTCATATATGTACATAATGTACTTTGATAATATTTGCTATCATTATGCTTTTAAAAAATATTTATTTTTTTTATGTGTATGCATGTATTGCCTGCATGTAGGTAAGTGCACCCGTGTTGTACAATGCCCGCAGAGGACAGAAGAGACTGTTGGTTCCCCTGGAACTGGAGTTATGGACAGTTGCTAGCTGCCATGTGGGTGCTGGGATTAGAACCCAGGCCTTCTGCAAGAACAGTCAGTGTTCTTAACCACTGCGCTATTCTCCAGTCCCCCGTTATGCTTTTAAGAAATTAATTTTTATTTTATGTGTATGAGTATAATGCCTGCTTGTATGTAAGTATACCATGTGCATGCAATGCCTGTGGAGGCCAGAAGAGGGCGTCAGATCCCTCGGACTGAACTCATGGACAGTTATTAATTGCCACGTGGGAACTGAACCCAGGCTATCAGCAAGAGCAGTCAGTGCTCTTAACTACTGAGCCATCTCTCCAGCCCCCTCATTATTCTTTTTTTTTGGTCTTTTTGATACAGGGTCTCCCTGTAGCCCCAGCTGTCCTGGAACTCACTATGTAGACCAGGCTGGCCTTGAACTCAGAGATCTGCCTGCCTCTGCCTCCCGAGTGCTGGGATTAAAGGTGTGTGCCACCACGCCCAGCTTCATTATTCTTTTAAGTATTATCTATATCTCTAATGTATTTGGTTTAGAGAATTTAAAATATTGAGGATGGCTGATGAGAGGCATAAACCATGCCCTGTGGCAAATAAAGGAAGGCACCTGTGGCATGGAAAGATTGAGGAAAGCTAAGGTCTTGTTCTGAGCAAGCCTCAACCTTTCCAGGTTTGCAGTTAGTTGTGGGTGAGGAGGAAATAAGATTTAGCATGATACAGCAATACTGCATGCATGATCCCATGCCTCTGCCCACACTCCTGGCAGCCATGCAACCACATGCTTCCATCCTCTTCAAATGCTCTACATACACCTCTGTGTGCTATGGGGAACAGCTCGGGTGGGTCATTCATACTGAAGCACAATTCTTTGGTTACATGATAGTATAGGAAAGGTGTTTCAGGACTACCAAACAGGACAATCTGCTCAGGAATGGAGCCTCTGCCCTAACTATCCCTTAGAGGCAGAACTAAAAAAAAGGAGAAAAGTCTCTTAGGTGCAGTGCAGGGCAGCCCTTCTGTCAGAGTCTGCCTAGTTTTCATCTTATTCAATGTGTTTATTCATTTGAAGTAAAATATTCAAATGTAAACCCAATGTCTCAGCTAGAGAAACTCATGCCTAGCTTCTTACCTAGAAATATCAAAGTGGTCTTGCTTTAAAGCCCACTGATAATGGACTGGGTGAACCTGTGAATGCAGACTGAATACATGCAGCCCAGAAATAGCATACCTCGTTTTCTGTCCACCTCTGTCCATTCATCTATATGAAGCATATAAAAAGAAAACACCAGTTCATGAAGCAAGAACATTAGTTGCATGGAGGCTTTACAAACACCAGTTCCAATGATGTAGCCTATCACACTTAACGTTTCATGCTTTCATTTAATGTCTCATATGCATGCGCCATTTGAAAGCTTTAAAGAAATTTAAGAGCTTTAAAGACTAGATAATGACAAGAGCCAAATTATCTATATAAAGAAGGTTAGGACAAGAGGAAACTCAGGGGAACTAGCCACCTTGGGGTTCCTCTTGGAAGACTCCAGAAGTCATGCTCTCTAACACTACAAGAACACACAGCATTCAAAGCAGGCTTTAAACACTAGCCCCAAAGGAAGAATAATCCTGGAGCATAGATAGGAAAAAGGGAATTTGTGTACAGTATGTGATTATTTTTCTTAAAATATATATTTAAAATAATTTATTATTTTTAAAAATTTTATGTGTGTGTGTCTATTGCCTGCATGTAGATAAGTGCGCCTGTGTCATGCAGTGCCCACGGAGGACAGAAGAGGTTGTCAGATCCCCTGGGACTGAGTTAGGACAGTTGTTAGCTGCCATGTGGGTGCTGGGATTCGAACCTGAGTCTTCTGCAAGAATAGCCAGTTCTCTTAACTGCTGAGTCATCTCTCCAGCCCCTTTTCAGGGCAGGAGATTGAACCCAGAGCCTTGTGCACTTTAGTAGGTAAATGCTGTACTGCTGAGCAATACCCCAAGCCCTGAAAAACTTTCTTTTTTCACTTTTGGGGAAAATTTCAATCCACCTGACTCTTCCAATAAAGAGTTCTATACATATGGAAAACATTTCACAACTAATGGTATTTTGGGAAACATTTGCCACTATATTGTTTGAGAGTGATTTCTGAAGTTGCACTTAAAAGTGTGTACATGCCTTCAACACACACTAGCACAGTCTCAATATACAGCACAAACAGTTCCTACGAGACTAGTCAGTACCACTGCATGGTCAGACTCCCCTGGAAAGTCACCATCTTTTCCCCTGAGAGTCACTGGCATAGCTGGGCCTATTAGCACAGGACTAATCCTCAGGAGGCTGAGGCAGGAGGATCAAAAGCTTAAGATCTGCCTGAGCCTCCAGAGTGAATTTAAAGCAACTTAGTGAGATGCTATCTCAAAATCAGAAGGGCTAAAGATGTACCTCAGTGGTAGAAAGCTGGCCTATTCCACATGAGGCCCTACAGTACTGGAGGTGGTGTTGGAGTCACAGTCTTTTGGAGAGTGTAATGGAGAAGCAGTCCTAGGTCTGGCCTTCTTAAAGCAGGTACTGGTTTCTTGGGCACTACGTCCATGTCTTCCATTTTTCTGTGTTAGTTAGGCTTGTGGTAATTTGGAGAAGAGGAATTTTCATCCTCTTGAAGATGTGTTTGGCAACAGTGGCGCTGAAGGGTCCGTCTTCTCTGTGGGTGAGTGACTCCACTGTGGATAAAATGGAACTGGAAAAGGCAAGCAGGAAGCCCTGGGAGGCTCCAGCCTGTGATGACACCAGGTGCCAGCAGAGGGCTCTAGAGTGCCACAGGCTCCTGCTCCCTTTCCTTTAAGGAGCCAGGCAAGGTACCCCATGCTCTGTTTTCTATTCTCAGATGAATTGTTGGAACAATTCTACTTTAGTTATATTTTGCATGAGAGGCAGGCCAAGGGTTCCAGGGCTGGCTGTTAAATTTGAACCAGAAAAGTCAAAACAGAGCCTCATTGCTATTTAGTTGGTAAGTACTACAATGCAATCTGCGTGTCTTAGGAAAAAAAAATCACTTCATGGTGTCTCAGTTTCCTTTTTTTAAAAAAAAATTATTATATTTTTATTTTATGTGTATTGCCTGCATGTAGGTAAGTGCACCCATGTTGTGCAATGTCCATAGAGGACAGAAGAGTCTGCTGGACCCCTGGAACTGGAGTTATGGACAATTGTTAGCTGTCATATGGGTGCTGGGATTCGAACCTGGGTCTTCTATAAGAACAACCAGTGTTCTTAATAGCTGAGCCATCTCTCCAGCCCTCAGTTTCCTTTCTTGTAAAATGAGGAAGGTAAACAAAACATAACAGGGTCTTATTTGTGAGTGCTTTTAAGAGGACAGAAGTGAGGTAAAGGCAGCTTTTATTGTTTTCCTTATTGCTTAAAATGTGGGACACATTTAGTATGCAACACTCACAAGTTGCCCCATTAAGAGCACACTTCCTTTCTGTTGAATACTAAACTCAAGCTGCATAGTGGGGGGAAATTGCAAAGTCTCCACTGGCCTTGTGGGAACAGGGATGGCCTCAAGGAAACCAATTAGCTGTGTAAGATAATGAAAACATCTCAGAGAAATAAGACTTCCCTTCAAAGTTTCCATAAGGACTAGTGTACCATGTCTGGAGATTTACAGGCCTGTGTACGGACATCTACCACAGTGGATCTGGCTCCTGCCCTTGCAGCCACATCAACTTTTAACAGTGAAATAGACAAGTGCTCCTCAGCTTTTAAAAATCCTATACCACTTGGCTTTCTTACTCTTTCTTCTACAAGTTCCCATTGGCCAGTGACTTTGTCATTTCTTTTTTTGTTTTGTTTTGTTTTTTATTTTTTGCAGGGAGGACCCTGTGGGGAGCGGTGCAGGGGCCCCGAGTCCACTGACTTTGTCATTTTTTTTAGAAACTCGGTGGGTATAAATTATTCATACATACACATATAAGTGTATTTTAAAACCTACCCTCCTCTCCTGACCCACCAAACTCCACAAAATTTTGATACAGTTCCTGTATCACACCAGAATGCAGCAGTTAAGGGCTTGGTGGTTAGGAATGTGAGCTCTGGAGTCTTGTGTCTGGCATTTTCAAATCACTTACTCCTTCTACCAGGGAGGCAACCCGAGGCAAAGCAGCTTTAGTTTATCTTGTAAAATTTGGGGTAGTATTATCTATATGATAGAATAGTTGTGGGCATTAATATGTTTAAATGGAGTCTTTGGTACAATTGAAAAACTGTTTCAATAGACATGAGTAGTGGCTCAAACCTGTAATCCCAACACTTGGGAGGCTGAGGGAAGAGGATGATCCAGAGTTTGAGGCCAATTGATACTACAGAGTTTCAGGACAGCTATAATGTGAGCCCTGTTTGAACAAAATGAAACAACTGTTTTATGGTGGTTGTTAGGAAGATGTGTCTTGAGTTTCAGTTACTAGACTGGACTGATTTAGCTCTGCTTCTAGTAACTGTACAGAAGGGCTAGACCTGGGTCTACTCAGCATCTCACATGGTATGATGCCTGCTAGAAAACTATAGAACAACTAAGTGTGTGAAAGTGAATGACTAGGGGCTGGAGAGATGGCTCAGTGGTTAAGAGCACTGACTGCTCTTGCAGAGGACCCAGGTTTGATTCCCAGCACCCACATGATGGCTACGAACTGTCCTTAACTCCAGTTCCAGATCCAAAGCCCTCTTCTGACCTCCACGGCATTGCACGACATGGGTGCACTCACATACATGCAGGCAATACACTCATATACATAAAAACAAAGAAAGTGAATGACTAAAGATGGCTGGAACTACCTAAAATTGGATGTAGGTAAACCAGCAAGATTATAGTGCTTTAAAAAAAAAATTTTTTTTTTCTGGGTGTGGTGGCATACAACTGTGATCCCAGCAATGGGGAAGTAGAAGCAGGAGGATCAGAAATTAGAGGCCAGGCTACATGAGACCCTATCTCAGAAAATTTGTGGGTTTCCTTGAATACATATATTGTATTTTAGAGATAGGGCCTCACTATGCAGCCCTGGCTGGGCTGGAACCTGCAGTGATTCTCCTGCCTCAGTTTCTTAAATGCCTGGCCTAAGGACTGCAGTTCTTGTTTTTCTTTCTTTTTAAGAATTTATTTTACATTAATTATGTGTAGGAGCACAGATACCCTGAAGGGGGGGGGGGCCAGAAGAGGGTGTCAGATCCCTTGGAGTTGGAATTATAGGCAGTTTTGGCTGCCTGATGTTAGTGTTGGGAATCAAATTCTGATCCTTTGCAAGAGCAGCAAAGTGCTCTTAAACTGCTGAACGTCCCTCCAGCCCAGGACTACAGTTCTTTTTTTTTTTTTTTTTTTTTTTTTTTTTTTTTTAGAAAGGGTCTCCCTTTACCCCCAGCTGGCCTGTAACTCACTATGTAGACCAGGCTGGCCTTGAACTCACAGGGATCCACCTGCCTCTGCCTCCCAAGTGCTGGGATTAAAGGCACGGGCTACCATGCCCGCCCGGCAGGACTACAGTTCTTAAAGACAAAGCCCTAGTATTCACAGAACCTTAACCAGATCTCCTCTTGAAAGATAACACCTATTACTAATTGTGCAAACATGTCAAATGCATCTTCATTTAGTCTTTACGGCTTCACTTTCCAGTGTGTATTATTATTACCCTTCTATAGAGAAATAGAAGTTAGCAATGAGTTAAATGGCAAAGATGGAATTGGGATCTAGACTTAGATGACCCCAAAGAGTACACTTTTTTTTTTTTTTTTGGTCTTTTTGAGATAGGGTCTCCCTGTAAGCTCCAGCTGGCCTGGATTTGCTATGAGACCAGGCTGGCCTCAAACTCACAGAGATCCGCCTGCCTCTGCCTCCCGAGTGCTGGGATTAAAGGCATGTGCCACCATGCCCAGCCCAAAGAGTACACTTTAAATTGCCAATTTACACTGTCTTCCTAGATGCAGTCTACCAGTAGAGAAATCTAGCCTGTTACCCCCTCTGGGGCCAGTCGCCTGAATTAAATCACATCACACAGGCACCAAGAAACACAGAAGCCTCTTGAGGAAGGAACGATAATGCCATATAAAACTGCCAAGCTGTTAGGCACACCTTTACTGAGCATTGATTGATTATGATCTGGGCTTTGTACTAGATACTGGAGTACAAACAGGAGTAAGATGGTCAAGTGGGGGAGACACATGTACACTGTCAAGTGGTAAGATGGAGAGAAACATGCATGGGGTGCTGTAAATACAGGCAGGCTCTTTCCCCATGGGAGGTGGCCTATTGAAGAAAGACAATTCTTCAGCTGAATGGAGCAGGATAGCAGGGAAGGATGGAGGGACAGGGATGACAAGCATGGAGAAATGGTTTAAAGATCTACATGCAGTTTGGTGCAAATCAGGCAGTGGTGGGAAATCAGAATGGGAAGGGCTCCAAAATATCTTACACAAAGACCTGGCATCCATTCAAAGAGCACTGGAAAGTTGACAACTACAAGTTTTAAGGGGTGATGGTAACAGATGTACATTTTATAAAGCTTGCTGGCAGTAGAGCTCAAAATGAGTGGAGAGTGCTATGGGGAGTTCTCTTCTCTCCCTGAACTTAGTCACAATCAGACAATGGTTAATATTTGAGTATGTAAGCTTCACCTCAATTGAATATACAGAGAACTGTTGGAAGTGAAATAAATGTTTTAATCAGTTTTCATGTCAATTGCCTTTATATCAAGTTTTCCTCTTCTACCTCAAAATAGACTAGTTCATACTTAATCAGGAAATTTGGTGAAGGCAGTTGTTTGCTGGGAAGGGAGGAAAAGGGTGGTCGCTTCCCTGGGGATTACACATAGTGTAATTTTGCATTTTAGAAGCTCTCCAGTAATATTTCCATATTTGCATCCCCCTTCAACCCTTTCGAAGGGAAAGGCTTATGTTTTTGTACTTATCTATATTATTTGAGGACCCTCCATTTCTAGAAATGGCTTCTGAAAATGAGCAAGACTAATCTTTAGCTTATGTGGGTGGATAACTACACAGAGAGACGGGGGTAATCAGAACCTGTTCCGTGCTGGATAAGGGAGGGTTGTACTTGCTAAAAGGATATTACCAGGTGTGCAGCTGGGAACTGCTTTTGGAAGGGGTTAGTTTTCAAGAGACGGGGAAATCATCTCTTCCTTTCGAAGAGACGGGGAAGTAGGAGGGTCAGGTACTTTATGTTCAATGCGGGTGTTAAGTTCCTCTTCTGGAAAAGGCTCTTTTGGATAATTTGACTCCAACAGCGTGGGCTCTGAGCCTTGTGAGAAAGCTATCTGGCTGTCGGAGTGAAATACGCAGAGGGCTGGTCTGGCTGTTAGGGCATCAGGGAGCGGCCAGGTGCGAATCTGGCAGTAGGTATCAGGACTGAAGCGAGGGGACTAGGCTATGGGTCTGGCTGGGGCCGCTGGCATGGCGATGCTGGGGGACAGCGCTGCGGGGGTGCAGGTCTGGCTACGCGGGCCCGGGGCTTCTCACCTTTGCGGGCCTTGTCTCCCGGGATGTTCTGGGCCCGCAGCCGCTGGTCCAGGACGTAAAGCATCTCCCCACCCAAGTTCAAGAAGAGCAGAGGCAGAGTCCGCACTGACATGGTGCTGGAAGCCCGTAGGGCAGGTAAAGCGCTCCAGGGTTTGGGATTCAGCGGCCAGAAGGCCCTGCTGCGTCTTGTGGCCTGGTTGCTAGGGCAACGCCGCGAAGCGGAAAGGCGAGCCAATCAGAGAGCGGTTTGGTGGGAGGTGCCCCGACGGTGGGCGCTCATTGGGTTGGATGACACGGATTGCCTCAGGGGATTGGTCGGAGCGGAAGGCGCGCAAGGTCCGCCGCTGGCTTTGAGTTTGTGGAGGCTCAAGGCCGTGACCAGCTTTCCAGTCACTCCCGCCGGGTCTGGAACCCGCTCGAGCGCGACGCCCTCCATCTGTGGCATCACCTTGCGCTGCGCCTTCGTGCATTTTGTTACCTGCCTGCTTCTATAGGCAAGGAAGTTTGGCAGTGCGGACCCCCCCGCCCCCAACTGTGCATACGGGCTTTGGAGTCAATGAACTGCGCTTATTTGGACAATTTGTCATAGTCTCTCTGAGCTTCGGTTCTCTATAAAGAAATAACAATCAGCCATCTTGAGGAATAAATGTGGCTTTGACTCTTACGGAAGATAAAATGCCCAAGGCAGCACTTCAAACAGTGCCTTCCTGCAGGCCTGATCCCATAGTCTGTGCCTTTCTGTCCTTACCCCTTTAGTCCCCAGAAAGGTTGGCACCTGGCCCTGTAGCACAGGACCTATTAAGTAGGTGTTTACTCATAAAGACTCACTTCTTTTTTAAAAAATATTTTATGTGTATGAGTGTATTGCCTACATGTGTGTAAGTGCATCCATGTCGTGCAATGCCCCCATCAGATGCCCTGGAAGTGGAGTTACGGATGGTTTTAGCTGCCATGTGGGTGCTGGGATTTGAATCCCATTCCCTACAAGAACAGCCAGTCCTCTTAACCATTGAGCCATCTGTAGCCCCAGAAGGCCTGCTTCTTTAAGGCCTTCCCTTCGGTTCCTAGAGATGACAGATAACTGAACAGCTCATCTTCAGCCATCTCACTTCTTATTCTTTCTGCTCACCCACCTTCCCTTCCAACCGTTACTGTGCCCCTCAGGAGTCACCCTTCCCAACTTGACATAGGCCAGTTTTCTTTCACACTCCTTCCAGGGCAACTTTTTTTTAAAAAAAATATTTTATTATTTTTATTTTATGTGTACGAGTGTATTGCCTGCATGTATGTGAATGCACCCATGTCGTGCGATGCCGCAGGGGTCAGAAAAGGGCTCCGGATTCCCCTGGAACCGGAGTTAAGGACGGTTTGCAGCCACCATATGGGTGCTGGGAATCGAACCTGGGTCCTCTGCAAGAGCAGTCAGTGCTCTTAACTGCTAAGCCATCTCTCCAGCCCCAACTTTTTTTTAAAAGAAAAATTTAAATTTTTTTTTTTTTTCTTTTTGAGACAGGGTCTCCCTGTAGCCCCAGCTGTCCTGGAACTCACTATGTAGACCAGGGTAGCCTTGAACTCA